TCACAGTCCTTTTTGTTAAAAGCCTGAATTGTACTTCTTTATGTTAAAGCATGTTAAAATGTATATTGTAAAATATGTAAAATTTGTGGTGCAGCTCTGTAAATATTCCCTTAGATAGCAAAAGCAGTAAGTTGTTACCCAAGAATGAGCAGGGGTTAATTGTTATTATTGTTAGAAATAGACCCAGAATATCCAGCATGTATGAAGACTGATGGTAGATGTGACAGAGGACATTTCATAAATCACTTTCTGCAGCTGGTGCTGGTGACCTTGCAGTGTAACCTGAAGAACCTGAGCTGCTTCAGGATCCTGTGTGCAGCTCTTTGCACCGTGAGCATATTTCTCTCACCTCCTGATAAATATTTATCCTCTCTTGTACCTGAATTTATTTATTTCTATATTTTGGGAGCAGCAAATTTGTGGCCATCACTTCAGACCATGGGAAATCCAACCAGGCAGGTTGGAGGCCAGCCCAGTGGAGTGCCCTAATTAACAGGAACATGTAATTAAAATTGAAGCAGATGTGGCATGGGCAGGTGGTATTTCCTAAGCATTTCCTGTGTGTGCACACTGTGTGTGATGGACACAAATAGCTCCTCTTTCTGCAAGTGTGGGAAATGCTGGTGCATCTGCTGAGCAGTTGGTGTGTGTGGATACCACAGCTCGGCTCTTAATGGACTGAAACGAGCTCTGAAATCCTCAACATATGAAAACATCTTTAAAACTCAGCCTGGTTAAAGTTTGAGGTTTAAAAAAAATTATATTTGCGTGAGAGGCTATAAATGTAATAACCCCGTGTGATGCATTTCTTGCATTCTTTTGTGATTATCTGCTACTAGTTACTGTTGGGAGCATCGTGTTAGACAAGAGAACACTTTGATCAGATGCAGCTTTACAAAATATGAGCAGTCATTGCAACTCAATGGATCTGAGAGCAGCTACTCATCTGAAAAATCAATCTGTAAAAATTCCAAAATGGCATTTGTCGTTAGGTTTTATCTAAAATTACAGTAGTTGCTTTATGAACAATTTCAGTGAACTGGAAGAAAACAGTGGAAATTTGCAGTCAAAATATGGGAATAAGGAACTTAAATGTGTAAGTCTGCAAAACTGGAATTCAGATTATTTTTTCTTAGTAGGCCAGGAAGTGTAGGCAAAGTTCCCCATGCTCAGTACAGTGGTAAATCCGAAAAGGAAAAAACTAACCAAACCAACCACACTTGAAGTTTTACATATTTGCAGGGAACTTTGGTCCCTGTAGATCTTTCAGGTTGAATTTGTAGAATCCTTCTGCAATTCCAATTTTTTTTTTTTTCTTGGGGTTTTATAGCAATTTAATAGGATTATCTGAGAAGTAATTATGTTATACAGTTAAATTATTCCATCTCTTGGTTGTTAGAGTGACCTGTTGTATTTTTTAGTATCTGTTGAGTGGTGTTTCAGTGTCCCAGCTGGCTTATTTGCAATACCTTTTTCTCTCCTGTGGCAAGCTGTGTCAAAAAGTGCTATTGTAGCAAATGACTTTCCATTAAGGCACGGCAGGTCTCTGTTCCCCATGGCTACCAAATTGAAAATGAAATTTGTATATTTTGTGTGTGTGTTCATTTATCTTTTGTAATTGTTTGGTGAAGAATAGTCTTTTGATGCTGCAGAGGCTGCAGAACCCCTGGCATTATTACAGATATATTTTCAACATATTTAAAGTTATTTTTCTAGGTTTAGGACTCTCAGTCTTCAACAGTGGTGATGTTTTCATCACATCAAAGTGGGAAATCTCTACCTCTTTCAAGTGAAGTTGGGTGAACTTTCTGGGTTTTAAGTGCAATTTTACCTGATTTTTTTTTTTCCTGAGTTCAGAAGCTGAGCCTTTTGAGATGGAAGAGAATGCTCAAGATCTGAGTTTATGTTCTGTTCTGATATACATTAGTTCCATACTGATCTGTATTAGAAAGTAAAGGTCAGGAATTTATGCAAATCTCTGAGAGCATCCTATAAAGGCACAGCAGTGTTCAGACTGGCTTTTTTACATTTATTAGTGTTGATTTTGACTTGAGACCAAATCTTCAGTCTGTGGTGGCTCCACTTCACTGAATTATGTAAATTTACAGCAACAGAGATGTGCCCATAAACTTTGTTGTTATTCCCATTGAATAAACCTGTAAAAAATGCCTGAATAAAGTATCTTTTTAACGTGGCCAAAGGGAGTCAAAAATTTGGCTGAAGTTATCAGAGGCAGTGCTGTAAATGGAAATTGGCAATTGCATTGGTACTGGTTCCTTGTGAGCATACAGCTGCTTGGGGAGCTGAGAACATCCTCACCCCGAGGGGCTGCTGCTCCCCCCTGCTGCAATCCTGCTGCTGGGGGCCTCTGAGGCCTGCAAGTTCTAGGAAATAAATAATTTGAGAATTTGTAAAGAAGGACCGTGAAGTGCATGTGAAGTGTTGGTATTCTTCCAGGCTGAACTGCCAAACTTGACAATTTTATGAATTTAACGGGGTTTAGGAAATACTGGTTTTGTGTATTTTACTTATTACACAATTAGTGTGTGAAAAAATAATGGGTTCAATTACCATTGACTTTAGGTTCATGAAGTCAGCATCAAAGACAAATGCAAGTCAGCTATTGTAGTAAGTCTGGGAAGAAAAGATCTTTCTGGTGCTGTTAATAAGATTTATCAAAGTAGTCTAATAGGTGCTGATTTATTGTAAAATAATGTATGGTCATAATTTGCAATTTGATTTTAACATGCTATAAAGACGTTATGGAGTAAGTAGTGAGTGGGATCATTCCTGTAACTTAGTCATGTATGTTGTCACAAAAGTTTCAAAGGCATGTTGATTTAATTATGAAGTGGAAAGTTACTTCTCTTAGTAAGGGAACAATTTGCTTATTGTATCTTCCTGTTTCAATGCTTAATTCCTTTTATGTGACTGAATACTTCTGGTTACAATGTGCCATAACCCTATTGACCTGGGATAAATTTCTTTAATTATTTATTCTATTAATGTTTCTATCACCTGAGGGAAATGCAGATATTCCATTAATGATTGTGTTAATCAAACCACTATCTTGTATTTCTGCACTGCCCAAGTTTATGTCATTACATTAGCAGGCACAGGAGATGAAATTGGAAACTTGTAATATACTGCAGATTGGATTAAGTCATCTGTGTGGTGTAGACTGCTTGAAGACTTTTTTTAGATAATTTAAAAACATTAAATCTGCAAGACAGTTATTGTTCCTGACAGGATCCCTGAAGTCTCAACATAAGGCCAGTGTTGTAAAGATTTTAACTTTGTGTGTGAACAGTCTTGCTGGAGCAATGCAGCCTGGGATGCAACATACTGCTTTGAAGAAATGTATTTATGAAAACCAATTTTATACAAAAATATGTCTGTTTAAAAAAAGCCTGTTGCATGTTGGAATAATCATTCCACCCCTGCAATGTGATGACAGGCATTAGGCCTTTGAATGGAGTATATAATTTTGAGCCATTTCTAGGTGTAATGGATGTTATAATTTCACTTTTTGCCCTTGTAAAGCCTTGATGTTGACTAGGCAGTAAATGTTCATTTTTCAAATGTTCAGCCATAAGATGGGTGGAGAAGGGAGCCCTTGTGCTTGACTTCCATTGTAAGCTTTGCTTGCTGGGGCTCTCCTGGGGGCAGTGCAGACCCTTCTGGAAGTAATGCCAGTACCTTTAGCCAGCAGCTTCCCACCTGCAACACTGCAGCTGGTTTTGGATATTGCAGGGGTACCTGGAAAGCACCTGGTGGGATTCTCAGATACCTATTTCTTGCTTAAAAATACCATACATTATTCAACTGTTTGTTTTTGATGTGTGCAAGACAGCAAGGGTGTTTTTTGAATGCTGTTCAGGACGTTAAAGCAGTTAAGTTTAGTAGCCTTTTTGTGAAGAGAAGGTTATGGACAAGACTTTCAGGCAGTGTCAGTATCTCTGTGCTTGGAAATAATACATCTGTGATCCTTAGTCTTCTTTTCAGTCCTGAGAGCTTTGTAGACACACACACACACAAAAAAAAACAAAACCAAAAAAAACCACGCAAACCCCAACTTCATTGAATTCAGCAAATATTCCATAAGCTTTTTGTGCTGCACATGGATAGTGCTTTTTATTTGAGTAATAAATTTTATTTCTGTCACTCTTTGCTTACATGACTGCTTGCCTCCATAAGTAGGGAAGACCTTCAGTTGCTCCTTCAGCAAGCCCATCCTCTGAGGTTACCATGGCAGTAGTTTCAGCAGCTAGAATCCTTTGGCATGTGCTGGGGAGGAGGGTGGTCCTTCGGTGCCTTCATCCTGTGGCCCCTGTGCCAGCCAGTGTTGAAAGTGATGCCAGCCCAGACCAACCTGTCTGAGCTCTCACTGACCCATCAGTGCGTACTGCCGAAATAATTCCCATGTTTGCCTCTTACCCTGGCCAAGCTGGCTTCTCAGGTAATCCTTCAATGCAGGTAGGAAATGTGAAGAACCTGCTGGCTGAGCACATCATTTGGGGGAACATTTCCATTCTGCTTAGTAAATTTGCTTTCCTTGATGAATTTAAGCCAAACCTGTAATTATAACTATATAATTAAAACTAATTTTCAGCATCATGCCCTCCCTGGCATCCTTGAGATGTTACTTCACATTGGCTTCTTCGTGTTTAAAGATTGGTTAAATATATGCTCTTTTAGAAATTTGATAAGCAAATGATATGTGAATTTTGAAACAGTTACTGTGATAATTTCTGTAGGATTCTTTATTTAATTTGGATATGTTTCTTATACATACATTTTTTTCTTACTTTTATTTCCCAAAAGTCTCTGTCTTGTACTTGGTAAGAAAATATTTGCAAAAAAAGAGAAAGTTGTATGGTTTTTTTTGCATGTTTGATGATAGGTTTTTAATAAAGTCATGCACTGATGCATACTAAGGTACAAGAGTCCTGATGGGAAATAAACTAAACCCATGTTTACTTGTGTGGGTTTTTTTCCAGAGATTTGTTAGAGTTCCCCAGAGAAGATGATGCAGACCTTGCAATGAAAATCCTGGGGCAGTGGCGTTCCCAAGGCCTGGAAGATGTCCGGCTGGTGAATTACTCTGTTCTGCTTGACCTGCCAGGCCCTTCTTCAAACACAGTAACTCTGCAAAACAGCGGGGAATGCTTTTATCCGAGTGGACAACGGTGCAGCACAGACCCCAGAACACTTCACAGCCAAGACCTCCTGTACTCTTACGCAGCTTATTCTGCCAAAGGAACTCTTGAGGTAACGTGGCCATTTGTCTCTGTCACTTGTGGTGAAATTGAGTTAGGAAAGAGCAGCTTTTGCTGAACCTGACTGGAAAATTACACATAGAATCACAGAATTATTTTGGTAGGAAAAGACCTCTGAGATCATCAAATCCAATTGAAAATATGCTGAAATGCCCAGCTTTAAAATAAGCATATTTATGTGAATTATGATGTGGCCAATTGTACTTATCTTAATTAACCTTATAACCTTATATATATGAATACTTCATAGGAAATAGATATAGATATACACTCACATATGTCTATGTGAATCTAATTATATAATGTCTATAATTTTTTCTTAAATATCTGTGTTTATGAATTGGCACATTTTGCTTGTGTGTAAAAATATGTAAGCTGTGTCTGGAGTTTCACTTTATCCTTGCTGATGTATGAGTGCTGCTGGTTTGAGGAATGCTTGTAGGAAGGATAAGATGAGGCTGGTGGGAGTACTGGGCTAATACCTGGAGCCTCTGAATTATGGTTGTGGATCTCTCATAGTTTCTTCTGTGACAATTCAGTTGACACATCTGCTCCGTTTCCTCCTGAAAACACCGATTTGTAGTTTTATCTTACTGCAGTTACTCTAGGAAGTTTTGTCACCAAAAAGATTCTACCTATCTGGATTTGTTACTTGCCAAGTGAAATAAGATCTTGGATTATCTTGTTTTTTCCTGTGTGCTGTCTTGACTGTCTGTTTTCCTTGAGCTTCTGACTAAATATTTTGAGAGTGCACAAAGGGGCCATTATTTCTGTTTACCCTCCTCGCTGAGATAGGGTAAATCTTAAAAAATATTTCTGAAATACAAAAACTGCAATTTCACTGTTAATTGCATTATTGTCATCTTCCTCCTTTCAAAAATATTATATGATTCCACTGATGCTGGGGGATTTCTATCTTAGTTTCTGTCTTATTTAAAAGACAAGTTTGTTCATGCCTTAGAACACTTACAGACTATAAAGGAATATTGTGAACAGATTGTGAAGATCTGAATATTTAAACATGCCTACTCTCCATGCTGAGTCTTATCAGCCTCGGTCTGGGGCTCTGTCCACTTCAAATTTGTTGCTGTGAAGCAAAATGAAGTAGGCAAGAAGAGGCTCTAACTTGCATGACACGTGCTTTAACGTTTCCATGTAATAATGAATGTGGTTGCCTTCTCATATCACTTAAAAACTCCATATTTAATATTATTTTCTCATTGTAACTTAGTAAGAGTACCTGTAATCAGAGAGAGGAATGGTTGTGACCTTTGAGGCTTTATTTCATGAATGTCGATGCGGTGCTAACAAATTCATCAGATTGAAGGAAATCCAATGTTCCAGGAAGAACCACCGCTGTTATTCCCAGCAGCAGGGGTTCCACTCTCCATTATGTTCCAGGGCAGTTTTCTCTTATGAGTTCAGCAGAAATGAGGACCACACACACCATCCTCATCACAAGGGCTGGACCTTGGCTTTGGCAAAACTCCAACCTTGCACTGGAGCCAAGGAATGACTCTCTGCATGGTTTTACAGTCAGTTCTTTGAGATACCTGAGGGCCCTTATGAAACTTGAGATGTGTTCTTCTCTTCTTCAAAAAGTCTACCTGAAATGTCCTTAGATCTAGAGTTTTTGCCTAAAAGGGAAATTTTCTTATTTGTTTAGGCTACAGGTAAGTTGGTACTGGTCTAACCTTCCTGACTTTCAATCCTACACACTAATCTCTACTGTTGAAACTAATGGAAGTAGAAAAACTTTAAATGACAAGTAGCAGGTGGTGGCTGTTGCTGGGCTCAGCCATCAGAAAGGGACTTGATTGTTTGCAGTGGAACTACAAGTCACGTATTTTGGATATCCTGCAGTGGTTTGTGATTGCAAAATCATGAGGGTTTTCCTGTGAACAGGTATTTTTATAACAGCTACTCATAACCTGAATAATTTTCTTTCAAATGTAGCACATCCTTAGCAGAAAATTCCTATTATGTGTCGCTTAATCAGGCTGAATTGCTAATACTGCCTCGATGCTGCTGCTTCATTGTATCTCATTTGTCTGTTTGGTTTGCTGGAAGTTGAAGCAAATAAAACCATTAAGCTATTGCAGTCTGGCTACCAGCAGAGCTACAGCTCCACTTTGATGTTGACAAGGTTATTTGTAGAACAGCAAGACTCATTTTCTTTGACCACCTGTCATGTCCATTCATCATACGGCCATTGTATATGAGCCATCCAATTTGTGCTTTCTGGTAACAGTCTAAACAGCATTTGTGAGTAAAAATGTGAGCATTTGTGATCTGAAATCTACTTCAAAAACCTACTTAGTGCCACTGTGATGGATGGTGCACTTTACTACTTCTCTATATTTCATCGGGCTGTGAAAAGGTGACAGTGTTTACCCATCATGGTGACAGGCAGGGCAGCTTACAGTTCTGGAGAGGGCTGTCGAGTCAGTTTTGAAATAGATATTGCAGCAGTTATGTAAATAATATATTGTAGGCTAGGTCAGCCTAAGGAAAGAATGACATACCTGAAATATATTTTTATTAAAACTTAAATATCAGCCACCTTTTATAGAGCTTAAACCTTTTGTCTGCTTGATAAAAACAGGAAAGCTGTTCTGGCCAACAGAGTGCACATATTAATGGAAATTACATTGCTTCAAATATATGCATTAAAGCAAAATGCATTGTCAGACGGTATCCAGCCAGTCTCCAAGTGAGGGTGGTGTGGTGAATCCGAATGTGCTGCTCCTGCCTCCTGGAGCTTTGGGATCCAGGAGCTGTGGGGGTGCTCTGTCCCTGGGGAGTGGAGCGGGCTGAGATGGGGAACATCAGCAGGAGCTGATGAGAGTGGGCTGTGAACCCCCAGAATCTGGTGTCCCCCTTCAGTTCTACTCTGGTAAATGGTGTCAGTAGCCCACGTGTGACAGGGGTGTGGTGATCCCTGAGTGCACCAAAGGAGAAGCAGGGGTATATTTGGGCTTGCAGGAGCCTGGGTGGCACTTGGGGCACTGGGCAGCTGGTTTCAATCCGTTCTGCTGAGCGCAGCAGCTTCTGGAACAAACACAAGTCTGCAGTGTTTGTCTGCTCCCTCCACTGTTTCTTTAGCAACTGGACATAGTCCTAGCAGATGTAATGGTCAGTGTGTGGGAATAACGTTCAAGGACAGCCTAATTAGAGCAAAATGCAAATGGTATTTGCTTTGTATTCATGCATTTTCTGAAATTGTTTGTGTGACCTGAAGTTTTCCTCACTTTTCTTTCACCTTCAGTTTATTCACTTCATGGAAGTGTTAAGGAACTTTTGGCAATCCTGTCTGCTTTCATACTTTGAACTGAGGTACTTGGTGTCCTCTGTTATATGGTATTGTCTCATCATTCACTACTCCGCCTCTTTTGGAATAATGCACCAAATCCCTGTTGGTTCCTTTGCTGCCCCTCTCTTCTGGTTTCAGGTTTATTTCCACCCTCGTGGATGCTCTCAGCAAGCCCAGCAAAACATCCTGTTTTTTTCCTGGACCTTTCATGTACTGAAAGGACTGTGTTGGTTCAGGAGCCAGGAGAGGATGCAAGAGTAGAAGTACTGGCATGTTCTTGAGATGGAGATGCACATGCAGGCAGGGATTATCTGAGAGGTTATGGACAGAAATGAATTGTTCTCATCACTGAGGCAGTTCTCCCAACACCTGACTATGTCTGTTTTGTATTTTGGCCACTGCTCTGTCCCTGTCCCCTGGCTCCTCTGCTGTGTCACCTCACTTCCCTGCCATCACCCACGTTCCCAGTTCCTTCTGATTTCTCTGTTGCAGCATCTGCTGATCTGAGGCATTTATACCAAATCAGCCAGGGGTATCTTTGATGAGTTTTGGAGGGCCTGCAGGGAGCAGATAAGTGGGAATGCTGCCTGCCTGCCTCTACCCACACCACGCAGAAGAGATTCTCTGCATCTGCTGGTCACGTCTCAGTCTGCTCCGGTTCGTTTGTTTTGGTGACATTTTCTCAGCTAAATGAGAACCCACCGCAGAGATTAATGCAACCTGAAGCAATCTGGGATGTACAAGCCCATCTGTTAAGCTCACTCAGTCATCTTCCCACCATTCTTCAATCTTGGCAAGAGGGGAATAAGGGAAGCAGGACTCAGATTTTGCTGTCAGATCCTCTTTCACAAGGAGGGGAGTTTGCCCACGTCTTATCCAATATCCCATTTTCTTATGGCTGTATTTAGACGTCTCCTTTCCCCATCCATCCCTCTTTTTTCCCAGATTCTTTGCAGGACAATGGGAGTCTTCCTCTCCTCTACTGCCTGTTCCTCTAACCTTTCCCTCTCCTGCCAGGAGTGTGTCCTGCAGTCCCCATTCGTGTGTCCTACAGTCCCTTCCCCTCTCTGCTCAGGTTTACAGCCCTATTTGCTGCCACTGCTGGCAGCTCTCTTTATTTCCAGCTCTGCACCAAAAGGTCTGGAGTTCCTCTGGAGGGGACAGTGCATCAGGAAGTCCTTGACCCTAAAGCTTGCTTTCATTTGATTCGGTTTCATTGTGCTGGAAATGTGATTAGTGCACCCTTATTATCTTTTCCCTTCCCTCCAGCTAATCAGTGGTAATTTCCTTAACAATATTTCAGAATTAAGATTGGTGTCAGCGGGTTGGTTTTAGAAAATTTTAAAATCTTCCCAGGTTATTTTTATCCCCAGGCAGAATTTCTAAATGAGCCTTCTGCAGCATGCTCACTAGCACATCTTGAATTCCAAAGGCAGAGAGTGCGTTTAATTTAGATTAAATAATCACAGCATCTCTTCCTATGTCTTTCAGTCATTTTTGATGGCACATTGGTGCAAAATACCAAGCTAGAGGGAATCTTGATACATGTGTGCATTTAATTCTTTTAGGCATGCCAAATTTAGTTCATTATTATCTTTATTAACATTTTTAAAGATTTCTTCTCTGAAGAGACATGCACTAGCTAAAATGAATCCCTAGCAACTGAAATCAGTTTTGCA